ACGTAAAACCTTTCAAATCCATCTAATACATTTACAATTCCTTGTGGAACACGGAATGAAAAGACCAGCATTATTGATGACGTCCTTATCACCCAGACGCTTTCATTTGACCGTCGATCTAGATAATAGGGACGCTTGAATTGACAAAATGGATTCTTAATTATCAATCGTGAATTTCATGAACGATTTTCTTATCTGTTCCGCCGTGAGCCGTTTCGAGATTTAACACATTTTTAAAACATTACACGCACTAGTGTTTTAGAGTTCAGGAGTGCACATTTGTGGTATGACTTCAGCTATAAAATCATTATGACTTTTCTCTCTTTTTTTTGTGTGTGTAAATAATACAAGAAAACAAAGATAGATTCTGTATGGATGAACACATGATAAAATGACAAGTGCCGTTTTAATTTACAAACACAAACAAATAAACGAAACAAAAACACAATAAAAGTGTTAATTTCATATATCAACCGTTCACTTTTTTTTTTACAAATTTGCAATTTTGTTATAGAACATATTGAAAAGGAGAAAAATTCTTTCAATAATTTCATACTTTAAACAAATGACTACTGGACAGTGTGAAAACACTAAATTCAAAGTCTAAAACTGTAAATCTAAATGGTTACAATATTGCTGCAGATATTCATTTCAGCATTTGGTCGGTGCAATAACTAAATTTCAACTAAATAACGGAAAGCATACCATGAACTGAGATCGCATTCGGAACATCTCGAAAATCAATACGGAACCTCTCTAAGCGTGAAGATGCGGTTTTCCGGCCAGTGGATACAGACTAGTTAGTGAATGAACTCCAATGTAAAACACTAGATTCAACTTGGTGAAAGCATGCTCATCTTCGTGAAAAATTATGCAAAGTTTTTATTTGCGATATTTTCAATAACATTCCCCAGAACAAATAGTCATTCACGTGTATTTGTGTGTAAAAGGTTAATGTAAAGTTAAGATAGGTAAATAAATGCAGATACTTTTGATATTTAAAAACAAAATATTTTAAATGATTTATGAAATAACAGGTTAAGCTAACAATGCTCTTTGATCACTTCACCAACGTTATTAAATGGCAATCAACTGATAATATGTTTGTTGGTGTCACTTGACCAGTGTCACAGGAGGCTACCAGCTGACCACGGCGTCCTATCATACCGATCTATTAAGTACTGTCTGCCTCGGGAGGAGGCTTGGGAGGGGGAGGGGGAAGATGCTAGGGGGAGGAGGGAGGAGGCTACCAGCTGACCACGGTGTCCTATCATACCGATCTATCAACTGCTGTCTGCCACGCCGTCCTATCATACCTATCTATCAAGTACTGTCGGCCTTGGGAGGAGGCAACCAGCTGAACATGCTGTCATATAATGTCCTATCTCGAATGTGTAGGGCGAGGCTAGGAGGGAAAGAGAGGGGAGCAGGGAAGGAAGGGAAGGGGAGGGGGAATGCACTTTTCTTCTGGTGTCAACCCATTCCGTTATATTTAAAGGGACTATTTCATGATTATTTATGATACGTATCTAGCCATAGATGTATGCGTGTGTTTGTTGACTATGTACGACTATATGCGATTTCAAACTTTGTTTGACCCCTTTTAGGTGTCTGTGCACTCGCAATACACCACGTGTGGTTCTGGTTGAAAAAAAACCCATTCTGTTTTGACCATTAACCTGTATTCTCGTCGTGAAAAGGGCTTTATCAAAACAAATATATCATTTTTGAAACAAGAAAAAATAAGAAAATACAATAATATCTCGCTAATGAATACCTCAATACACAGGAGATGCATACTCCGAAAATGAATCTGTTTTGAGTGGGAACATTTTATTTCACTATTTCCAAATTTTAGTCATTCTGGCCATTGACAGTTAATCACTTGTTATCAGATTTCATTGACCTTCTGCCAATCAGAGTTTTTTTTTTATAATAATATAACAAATCTCAAATCTCTTTTCGAAACAGTCAATATGTCTACAATTCTAACCAACCTAAGGATTGTTGGCCAGTTCATCAATATATAACTAAACATAGCCACTTTTTCTTTTCGAGTTTGTCTCGCGTTTGTCTCGAGTTTGTCTCGCGTTTGTCTCGAGTTTGTCTCGCGTTTGTCTTGAAAGGAATTAATTATAGAAAATATAAGTACGAACTTTGTTTAGAAAAGTTCTTACTTGAACTCCCTCCGAAACTAGCCAATACGTATTGTAAGTTTAGAACATGTAATACTAAGTTACCAATTGAAAGTGGTAGGTGGCTCAATATACCACGTGAAAATGGATTATGTAGTTTATGTTATTTAAGAGAAATTGACGACGAATTTCATTATCTGTTTACATGTACACATCAACCAATACTCAATAGTAGGCGAAAACATATGTCCAGATATTATTATGGACATATTATAATGGATATTATTATGATATTATTAAACACATTCAAATATTATACATTATTCAATTATGTAACAAAACATGAATTGACATCATTAGCGAAATTTATTACCGATATTAATGACATAATTAATTTACAATATTAAACAGTCCATCCTGTTCCACCATGTATTATTGTCACCCATTTGTATATATGTATTCTCTACACTGTATTGTTTATGATAATAAAACAATTGTCATTGTCATTGTCATTTACCTTTTCGTTCGTTTAATGGCATTTTCTTTAACATTTTAACTTACTTTTTATTGGCCCTAATGACCTTTTGGGCCGTTCAGAATCCAACAACTAACTAACTAGGCGTTCTTTTTGGATACTAAATTGTCCATAGGACAAACAGACTGACATTGGGAAAGACAGAAAACAGACAGCAGAACAACCCAGACTTTTTATTGAAACGTGTTCAATATTATGCCACATAGCATATAATTTGACTGTGTACCAAATGAACCTATTGAATGAATCTCCTCGACGCGTCAGGTCGTCGACTGGAAATTATGTCTTTCAAGGCAGGAAATAAAATGTTTCAATCAATCCATTTTGCCAATTCTACCATTCAACTGAACAACGCGTAACTTTCTTAAGACCGCAGAAGACAATTTACTCTCGCGGAAGGCGACACTTTCAAAATCTGAGTAAATCGGCCGGGGATTGCCGCCAGACTCATTTCCTGTTTTCTTTGCGTCACGCGACATAAAAGTTGTAATGAAAATATTTCTGTTTGAAAATCACAAGTGTTCTAATCACAAATGACAACCACTGCCTTCATGGAGCGGCATTAAGGTCGCAGTCCAGAATTTCTCTGCGTTGGCCATTATTTTTATTTGTTGTAAAATTTCTTAAACTTACTTAGAAATGATTTTAAGATGAGGTTATCACCTGACGTCAATACCATAGGCAATCTGTGCCCATTGTGTTGACTAAGGTGACAACAATTTTACATCAACAACAAAAAAACCGGGTACAAAGGAACTATTACATCATTCCTAACCATAGATATGTGGTGCCGATTTTAGGTTTTTACGAGGCGATTTGATTTTGGGGAATTTTGTCGTAGACTTTCCGTTCCCGTTAAAAGTCGTAAGAGTCAGGTATTGATAATATCGAATGTTGACCGCTAGACTACGATGACCATGACGTTGTACGAGGTGATTATTATTTGGTTTATGTCATTAACCTAGTTTAGTAGTCTCTATTTATCTTTTCAGTGTTTTTATGTTCTGTTTTTATCTTCCATTTCACTTAACAGCTACATATATCTACTGTATGCACCTAAATGTCCTCATTATTCTTGAATAATGTTTAGAATTTATAAATGATAAAAAAGAGGAATTACATACATAACAAAGTAGCGTCATATATCTGTAAATTATGTCTATGAATATTCATTGTTTAATCCCGAACAAGTCATTGTAAATTCAATATTTCCCTGTAACTCACATTTAAGACAGCAATCATAGTCTGCTCAGTGTTTTACGAGCATGGATTGTTAGTGCAAAGCGTATTTATGACAAGTGTAGTGTCGATGACATAATTTTGCGTAACGACGGGATCAATAATACAAGATATTAGCTTCCCGATTGAGCAGCGTACAGACCATGACCTTTTCGCAATAGAAATCTCGTCTTAGCTGTCAATATTATAATTATGAGAGCTGTGTAAAAGGCTAATTTATTGCCAACATCTTGGGACTCTCAAGCCTATGTCATTGGTAATGAGAACATTAAATAATTTCATTGCGTGGAACTGGAACTTATTAAGATTTTTGTTCATAATATTGTGTTGTTTATTGTATTTCAAACATGTGACTCCTACCGATTCGCGGATTTTCTTCTATGTCTTTTGCTGAGGGAAATTTAAGAAACCAAACTTATTTTGCTTCCCAAATGGCAACACTTCTATAAATATAAACTTTATTTATTTTACAACAATTATGAAACAAGTGAGTTTTATTAATCACTCTTGTTGGCCGGATGTTAGCGCGCAGGGGGTCTTAATGTGGGAGGTAACCGGAGAACCCGGAGAAAACCCGCGTAGTCGGGCAAGAAACCCCATACCCTTTTACGTCCGATCGGGGAATCGAACCCCGGTCGCCTTGATGAAAGGTAAGTGCGCTATCCACTGCGCCACCCGACCACTTCTATATATTTTATTACCTTTATATCATTTCTTTTTTTTTGTTGGTGTCTCCTCAGACACCCGACTTCATTTGACCGTAGCTGTTGTGAGGACAGTAAACCCTAATACATCGCAGTTCTGAGTCTATTGAATGACATTGCCAGCACATCAGATACAGGGTGAAAGCATCTTGTCTTATCTTATTAAGTGGTTTTGTGTGTGTGTTCTTTTTTCTTTTTATATTATTGATGAGTGCTCTTTATCAATTGTGATGATTAGGATTGCTAAGGTGATTACGCAGCTGGCCTAAGAATTAATATAAATATATCTATATTGAATTAAGTTTTTAGAGAAAAGATAGTTGATATAAATAAAATGTTAAATGGCGTGCAGGCTTCACAGGTAGTGTATGGGAGAATGCCTTGAAATCACATAGTGTTATGACTTGTACTGCTGCTGCTGAGAGGCCGTAGCAGTGTGTTATGGTTTTTACTGCTGCTGCTGAGAGGCCGTAGCAGGGCGTTATGGTTTGTACTGCTGCTGCTGAGAGACCGTAGCAGTGTGTCATGTTTTTTACTACTGCTGCTGAGAGGCCGTAGCAGTGTGTTATGGTTTGTATTGCTGCTGCTTAGAGGCCGTAGCAGTGTGTCATGGTTTGTACTGATGCTGAGAGGCCGTAGCAGTGTGTCATGGTTTGTACTGCTGCTGCTGAGATGCTGTTGCAGTGTGTCATGGTTTGTACTGCTGCTAAGAGGCCGTAGCAGTGTGTCATTGTTTGTACTGATGCTTAGAGGCCGTAGCAGTGTGTCATGGTTTGTACTGATGCTGAGAGGCCGTAGCAGTGTGTTATGGTTTGTTCTGCTGCTGCTGAGAGGCCGTAGCAGTGTGTCATGGTTTTTACTACTGCTGCTGAGAGGCCGTAGCAGTGTGTTATGGTTTGGACTGCTGCTGCTGAGAGGCCGTAGCAGTGCGTTATGGTTTGTACTGCTGATGCTGAGAGGCCGTAGCAGGGTGTCATGGTTTTTACTACTGCTGCTGAGAGGCCGTAGCAGTGTGTTATGGTTTTTACTGCTGCTGCTGAGAGGCCGTAGCAGTGTGTCCTGGTTTGTACTGATGCTGAGAGGCCGTAGCAGTGTGTTATGGTTTGGACTGCTGCTGCTGAGAGGCCGTAGCAGTGCGTTATGGTTTGTACTGCTGATGCTGAGAGGCCGTAGCAGGGTGTCATGGTTTTTACTACTGCTGCTGAGAGGCCGTAGCAGTGTGTTATGGTTTTTACTGCTGCTGCTGAGAGGCCGTAGCAGGGCGTTATGGTTTGTACTGCTGCTGCTGAGAGACCGTAGCAGGGGGTCATGGTTTTTACTACTGCTGCTGAGAGGCCGTAGCAGTGTGTTATGGTTTGTACTGATGCTGCTGAGAGGCCGTAGCAGTGTGTCATGGTTTGGACTGCTGCTGCTGAGAGGCCGTAGCAGTGCGTTATGGTTTGTACTGCTGCTGCTGAGAGACCGTAGCAGTGTGTCATGTTTTTTACTACTGCTGCTGAGAGGCCGTAGCAGTGTGTTATGGTTTGGACTGCTGCTGCTGAGAGGCCGTAGCAGTGCGTTATGGTTTGTACTGCTGATGCTGAGAGGCCGTAGCAGTTTGTCATGGTTTGTACTGCTGATGCTGAGAGGCCGTAGCAGTGTGTCATGGTTTGTACTGATGCTGAGAGGCCGTAGCAGTGTGTCATGGTTTTTACTGATGCTGCTGAGAGGCCGTAGCAGGGCGTTATGGTTTGTACTGCTGCTGCTGAGAGGCCGTAGAAGGGTGTCATGGTTTGTACTGCTGCTGCTGAGAGGCCGTAGAAGGGTGTCATGGTTTGTACTGCTGCTGCTGAGAGGCCGTAGAAGGGTGTCATGGTTTGTACTGCTGCTGCTGAGAGGCCGTAGAAGGGTGTCATGGTTTGTACTGCTGCTGCTGAGAGGCCGTAGCAGTGCGTTATGGTAGGGAGAAAGATGTTTTAATAACTGACCTATTTAATAAACATGATGCTTCAGAACGTCTTCATCTTTTACTCAAAAACGGTTTAGTGTTAACTTTTAAATGTATATAATAAAAACAGATATTTATTTGAAAGAATCTCATGTAACGTGTGCCCAATCCTTTTGCCTTATGGTAATAAAATATGTATTTTAGCTAAAAACTTATCTAAAAAACAGATATTTAGATTTGAAACAATTTGTAGAATGTTACCGTCTCTAGTGCAACATTGGAGGGTTTGTCTCTCACCAAAAAAGTCCACAGTAAGGTCGCATTCCATACAGTTGCCATTCCTTCACGGGCATTTTGCATTTGAAGTGTCAAACATCCGTCCATTCCTGGATTTACGATGTCTGTACACCGACCAGGGGTTTATCCCGCGCTAGGGGGCACCACTAGGAGCCCGGGACGGAAGCACGGGCCGCAGCGTAGTGATATTAGTCGGAACACATGGCTTTGATGCGACAATCAATTATATAAACACAATTTTTCTTCAAGGTTTTACGATATATTGCTCCTTGACGACTAAGAGCAAAGGATTCCTGCATCACATCGCCCATTTGTGTACGCAATACTATTAGGCCCTTGGGAGCCTTGGAATAATTATAAAACAGAAAATGTTAATTGGACAAAAAACGGTCCCAAAGGAGAGTTTATTGCGTATCTATTTTGCTTTGTTTTAATTGGTTTTCCTTTTTTTATCGGCTTTTTATGCTGGTTGTATTTGTTTTGTTTTGGTTGTTTTGTTTTGATTGTTGCCTTTTTTATTTTTCGTTGTATTTTTTTTTTTTTTTTTTTTTTTTTTAAAAATATANAAAATCGTGAAAAGCTTTCAACAAATTCCTTATGAAACCTAAATGAATAAGGCGGCTTTATTTTACATTAAAAACACATTTCCTTTGTTTGGGTTTCCGCATCGTCCTACCTTTATGTTTTTTTAAACTACTTAATCCGTATTACTAGTGATAATTTCACGTCAAAGGATATTTGACTCTGTCGGTTGACCGTCAGTCCCTAAAGTTGGTTTCAACCTTGTAGCTGAAATTCATTCTAGCACTGTTTACAACGAAATACTAATTATAGGTGAAAAAAATGATCTGTTGTATCCAAAACATATTTTAAACGCTTAAAAGATTTTTTATGAAACTTTTACCCTTTATCTGTATTTTTATATTATCAAAATATTTTTCCGCAGGTCGGTTGTTTTTCTCTGGGTACTCCGGTTTCCCTCCACCACCAAACACCGAGCACGTCCTTGGATGACCATAACTGTCAATATGACGTAAAACACAAACAAACAAACATATATCACCGACCACTTTAGACATGGAATTTCATTGTGTCGACCCACAGTAAGGACCGGGTGATACATTTACTATGGTGCTTTAAAGGTGTTTACTTCATTTTGGCCTGCTACATCAGCTCATCAAACGTTTTAAAAGGTACATCCTTACTTCGTATCCTAATGGTCTTCATCGCTGTGGACATTAAATTTTGTAAACTGTTTTGTTAACAAACAAGTAGGTAACACATTGGACGTTATTTCATATGTAAATCTTTGAAATATGACGTAACGTAAACATGCTTCAATTGTGACGCCATAATAATAATAGTTCGGAAAGATTTCAAACGTTATGGAAGAAAAAGGTCCCAAACACGTTGATTACCGTGATTATCTAGACTGGCTACCAACCCTTTAATATTTTATGAAGAATCTCACGGCTGCATTTTACTACTAGCTTATCTCCCCCCTAGGTTTAGAACTTAGGATCAGACAGCCAAGTGATCAAAATTTTTAGTTTATTTTTTGTCCTAATAGTTCAATATTCTAGAGACGGAGGCCAGTCTAGTGATTATCTTACTCTCATTTGGAGGAACGATAGTCTAGTGGTAGGACGCCAGGCTTGTGAACGAAGGGTTGCGTGTTCGAGTCACGGCACGGCGCTGTGTTGTATCTTGAACAATATACTTTACCCGCTTGTTCCAGTCTACTTAGCTGTAAATGAGTATGTGGTTAGACAGTGTTAACATTTTTGAATGCTAGCTGTGAGCGCCGAAATGGCAGCAACGGCTGTATGCTCCCCTGGTAGTTGAGAAAGATATTGGCTGGTTGTAAAGGCCCTATAACCAAGAATAATAATTTGTGAACTGCTTTAAAAACGACCTACGAACTAGGTTGCGATAAAGCGGTTGATAAGAAATTCGAATTATTAATATCATAATTATTCGTTAATTTACAAATTGCAAACATTGTGGATTTGATAACCAACCATCTCTCATTAGTGAACCACCAAATTCACTCCAAAACGAAGTTAATAAAAATACGACTGCATATTGATCATCTCTGAATATAAGTTGTCCATTTCCTAACACTCATTCAACTTTCCTACGGGTTGTTGGATACTGGAAATGGAAAGAGAATATCCCTAAATGATGTAGTTAAACAATCTAGCCCAAATACCTCAGCGACCACAATTAGATTTGATATATTCCGGTCAACGGTAACACAGTTTTACTGTATATACAGTTTTTACTCAGCAAGGTTTATATGAGGTTTACACGATTCTGTTGAACCGAAGTTACTGTTAATGTACTTATTTTAGTGGTTACCATATCTTTACGCACTTATTTAAAAGCGCTTGTACACCGTTCCTGATAACCATTGATAGCTGTAGCGCTACATTATTAATGCATGGAAATTAGCGAGTGCGCTAAGTGTTGGGTTTCCGGTTATGTCGAAGCTCGTTAAATTTCTGCACTGAAATTATGTAATTTTCTACTCATTTGAACACTTACACACACAACTTTCAATATCAAACATGCAATTAATCAAAAGTCAAGAAGATAAAAGCAGAGTAGCATTGGAGGTGAAAACAACTTTTGTTATGAGTATATTGTTAATCGACTGAAGTACATCAAAAGTATTCATTCAACGGCATAAAATAACGAATAAGGCAGACTTTTTCATCAGTGTCTCAGATTTAAGGGTTTGATCTCTGATTCAACAATACAAAGTTTCTGAAATCAGTTACTAATTTTTTGAAAAAACTTTAGAAAAAACGACTTTAGATACGTCATTTAACATTGAACTCGAACAAATACAAATTTGGTCTAACGCTAAAAGATTCGTGAAACCGTTCTCAAGTTCCAACCCAAATTCTGTACTTGAATAATGATATTCAACATTAATATAGCGCCCTATATAAAAAAATACTCTAAAGCGCTTTGAAACATATGGATAATAGTATTAGTTATATTTGATAAACAAAAAAGGCTTACAATGACCATTATATATTAAGTAAGAAGATACTTATCTCAATATGTATATAAATGAATAACTGTGCAAAAAGCCTAAAATGCAGACGTGAAGAGATGGGTCTTTATATCCTTCATGCATTTGGCCAGTGTCTTTGACTTTCTAATAGCAGATGGTAAGCTATTCCACAACGTGGACGAAAACCTCTCAAAGCATCGGTTTCTATAGGTCACAATACGAGAGATGGGGACACACAAGAATGATTCTGTCTCCAGCTGCAGTGATCGTGACGGCTGTTACAGGGTAGCAAGCTTCTGTAGGTACTGGGGAGCTGCCTCATTCAGTGCCTTGTATGTGCACACCAAAATTTTGTACTGCGACCTGTATCGTTCAGGTGCAATGAAGATGTGCCCTCTCTTTTGAGAACGAGTAACCAGACGTGCTGCAGTTAAATTACTTTTCAGGTAAAATACTGTTCAAATTTCATAATTTTCAATGATTTGGAGGAACTTGAGTATCTTGAAGCTGCATGTATTGTGATTTTAGTAAGTTACAAAATAGTTGCATGGAACTGATGCTTGAACATAAGAACACGTTTATGAATATAGCCCACCTGCATTATTTTCATGATTGCAATATGCAAACAATCGGGAAAAAATAATGCATAAGCAATTATTTTTATTTATTCTTCTGTTTCACATATATATCACTTTAAAATGAAAATGATCTCTCGTGTTAGCATAACCGACGAACTGTTGTAACGACTTTCTGATTCCCCTGTCGGGAGCCTCAATTGATCTGTTTGGAAACGATGACCGCAGTAGCTATGCTGTTCCCAGCGCTGCTAGTCAACCCCCAACCTCTCTACGGGTTTCATGGTCTATTAATTGAACTAGACGAATTGTAAATGATTCAGGTTATTTTATAATTGTGTTGCAAGGTCCAGCTTTACTCTTGTAACAAATTACCCAACGCTTAATTACGGCGGTTAAGAGGTGTTTACATAAAACACAAAGAGAGTCGGTATCTACTTAACAAACACGAGGCATGACAATGTCAACGAGGCTTCGAGGACAAACTACGATGCCCTGAGTGCAAAATCTATAATCTATAATTGTGGCCAGAGTGTACTTGATGAAAACATTATACAGCAATTATTTAAAAAAAAAAGCACTAAATTTCAGCGAATAAAATATTTTTGCGCTTGTGCGTCAGTTTTCTCTTCGTTATTAAATTGTTTCCTTAATTACTGCAACATATTTCCCCGGAGCATTTCTTCTGAAGTATTTTACAAACGTTTACAAAATGTCTGATACTGTACTTATTTATTCTGGGAAGTGTCGCGTACTGAAATAAGTAATTGTTTCTTTGAAAAAAAACCGAGTTATGAACCTTGCTCATTTTTGGAACAGAGGTTTGTCCGGAACATGATTTCCTTGCTACATTTACCAAAGTTTACCAAAATTTGCTTCTTTGCTTGCAATTGGTCATTGTACGATCATAATTAAGACTTTTGGCGCTTAATCCTCACGGCGGCGAAATCTCACATTCGCTTTCCGAATAAAAGAAACTTATATTTCTTCATCTGTAACTACCTTTCTGCTCAACTACAAGTGTTCAACCTTTTTTTGTGACGGATTCATGGTTTTACTATTATAGTTTACTTTGTAGAATATCATGTTTTTAATATTTGTATTTAAATATCATCTTTGATTTGAGCATGAAAGTTACTGTTCTTAGTCGTAACCAGAAGTTATCGCCGATGTAATGCTATAAGTGTATTAAGTTATCACATGATTGGCTTCGTTAACGGTGTATAAATGTTGAATAAAGATCACAGTTCTTCCAGTACACAATGGTTGTTAGAGTGCTATGGCCTACTGTCCAGCACGACTCCTGTTATTGATATATCAGCAGCAACTGTTCATCAGGAATTGATCTTTCCTTAACCCTTTCACCACTGTAGATCATAATGGACTTATCCAGATCAATGCATGGTAGAGTTTATTAAAGTTTAATAGGGGTGAAAGGGTTAACTAGTCTGAAAACTTCAGGTTTGTGACGGATTGTGACATAACTAGATTGCATTTCAGATGTATCAAAATGAGTATTCTTCGCTTACTTTTTCGTTTTCGTATTTCACAAATTGTTTCAAAACAGTTCTTATTAATTATTACTATTCATCTTCATTGATTGGCTATGCCTTAATGACGGTAATTATCGTAATGATCACATCATCACATCATCATCATCATTATCCTCATCATTATCGACCTAATTTAAATTGAATTTCATCTTTGGATCATAGTGGATTTAGTCTGTCCTGTTGTAGAGATGATGCCTGATTATGCACTTGAGGATATTTTCAACTCTCAAACTTTCACAAACATTCTTTTCTTAATGTCTTTAAAATCGTAATTGTGCTTTTTAATTGAAATATTCTAGTTCACCCAACTGTAGAGATGGTGTCCAAAATATGTTAGGAAGTACACCTATGATATACCGGTGTTCAACAACTCTCCACCATAAACAAACACTTATTTTAAACTCGAACTAATGAATTTACGACATCAAATGACAAGTTTGTAACCATTATAGCTTTTAGTATTGACGTTTCAATCGATTCTGCACTGAACCTGTAAATGTTTTCATTTGCTTTCCCACTGTTGCGTGCCGTTTCACGACACATTACAACACGTTCTGTTCTGTTCAATTCCAATGCAGCGACTGACATTTAGAGCTCAATAGTCGTCAAACATCAAAGGGTGTATGTCAATGTTTTTATTTACCGTGTACATCGTTTGCTTGCCGCACTCTGATATATCGCGTACTCAATCAAACAGACGAAGAAATCACACTTCGTAATGTCCGGCCGAGCCGTGATAATGATACCGGAGGAATCAGAGCAGAGACATCACGAACGTCTTGTTGTGTTCCGAGTAAAACATTAAAAAAATACACGCACTTGGTTCAGTACTGTGACAAAATGTATGGCGACTAAGCTGTGAATTTTCTTGTATTAACTAATTTCGTTTTTTCTCTTTATTCCCCGTCATTCTAGTTTTTATGTTGTTCTATCTTTCTCCAATTTTTGTTACACATTCCTTATCTTTATTTTTCCACTGAAAAGGATATCTTAAGACAATGAGAAACATTATGAAAAGGAAATATTCTAATTATAGAAACGTTTTTCTTGTCAAAAATTAGGGTAATGAACATTTGTAAAGGTAGAGACTGTTGGCAGAAGCCCAAGAGGATAAATGTTCGAAAAAAACTATTCATATTAAAAAGAATAAAAACAAACTTGAGTAGAGTCAGGCCTGTTTTGCTTTTTTAAGTCAACTATTGCATTGGAAATAAATGGCTGGAGTATACAGTTCACAATATCAACAAGAAGATCTTTTTTAGGCTCGGTATGGTATATTTCGATCCTATATTCCGAACGAACAAGAAACCTTTCATAATATTTCCATCATTATTGTCGCAAACTAGAAAAACCCAATATCTATGTGCTTCTAAGAGGAAATATGGTTCTTGTTAAATATCGAGGGTGTTTATAATGGTAATTATTGACTGTATATACATGTATAACATATGCCCTCAAGTATTATCATTGAGAGAAAGGAATGATTAGCTTCCTATCGACATATGGCACGAAATCGGTTACTAAATATTGACTCTCAATAATACTAATAGAATATATATGATTTGTTATTGTTTTGGAGACACAAGATATTCTAGTTTTGTTGACTGAGGACTCAAAAAGGGTAAGAAAAAAAGAGAACTATATTGCAAGGTCTAGAAGGGCAGAGGCTGGAACTGTACCATTCGACCATGGAGTCCTTCTAGGACACTGCTATTAGTGGTATTAAAGGTGACAATAATGGGAATTCAAATCGAAAACGTTCCGAAAATTACTAGAAATACAGCATAAACTCCTTATAGCGACAAACACTTGCAACAATATTATTCAACATTATTATTCTGAAACTAGTGTTTCAATGAAACCGTGCAACAATATATTCCAGCTACAAGGTAACGGCCAACTTATGGGACCGACAGACCACAAGCAGTCAGTATTCTTATAATATAAAATCATCACTTTAGAAATGAAGTAAAGAGCATTTAAGAAATGAAGTAAAGAGCATTTAAAAAATTACCTTCAGATCAACATTATGACTCTTTTCAAGAAAATCAGGTGTGACATGTTGTTATCCTGAAAACGTGGCTTTCTGACCTGACGTTGTCTATAGACACTCAATATTTGCTCATTTCTGATAAACAGTTTTCTAGGTTAGCTTATATCACTTCTGTATGTTTGGAGGGCAATTGAGACCCCATTGTCAGGAGTTGGTGGAAGAATTAGATTTGTCACCAAAGACGATCAAGCAGTATCAAACAGACGGTGCTTTGCTTTAAAATACGATTGAAATATCATATGTGTATTTAAATGCAGACCAGTTCTTGGACGTCTTTTTGCAGCAGAAAATTTTCTGCGTCTTCTCCCGTGTATTATATAAATCTAAATGATATGACTCCGAATAATGCCAAAAGGTACTTTGAATATAGTCAATGAAGTGTAAAAATTCAGATAATATCAACATCACAGAATAACCCCTGACAAGGCATCTAGCAATACTGCCAGATGATATGACCGATATGTTTATGTTTTTTTCTTATAAAAAGAACAATGACAGAAAACACATTTTGACTGCATTTCTAAATATTTGAAGAATCTTTAGGAAATGCTATCACTTTATACGTATCTATCGAACACGACAGGTGAAATAATCGTGAATGAAAATATCAAACTGTGTGGACTCCATAAACAGAATTTTGTTTGACGTATTGCGGATTATCACAGCGTTAACGTCTCCACAACGCACTCAGTTTAGAGTCACAGCGTTAACGTTTCCACACCGCACTCAGTTTAGAGTCACAGTGTTAACATGACCAGATTCCAGGTTTTCTCATTTTAACAGTATATAGCGTTGAGTTTTAAAATTAAGTTGTGTAATGTCATTATAATGCTACATGTATACTAGATGTGCCTACAAATATAATGTTTTAGTTGATAATTGTGAAAAGGTTAGCATATCGGTGATGCAAGCATATACAGTTAAACCTGAATGAGAGATTATATCAAAAGAGTAAACGTGTTAAGAACCTAATCCAGTAAAAGACTAACCGTGTTAAGAGACTAACCTTGTTAAGAGGCTAACCGTGTTAAGAGACATAGCGCGTTTATAGACTAATCGAGATAAGAGACTAGCCGAGTAAAGAGATTAATCGAGTTAAGAGAATAACTGTGTTTAGAGACTAACTTTGTTAAGAGACTAACTGTGTTATGAGACTAACTGTGTTAAGAGACTAACCTTGTAAAGAGATTAACCGAGTTAAGATACTAACAGAGTTAAGAGACTAACCGTGTTAAGAGACTAATCGATTTAAGAGACTAACCGAGTTAAGAGACTAACAGAGTTATGATTCCTGTCTTGTTAAGAGACCAACCGAGTTAAGAGACTAACCGTTTAAACGTTAACTTAACACGTGTTAAGAGAACATTTTACCGCATTCCCGAATGTAATTACAGGTTTCATTGAATGTATTTGAATATTGTTTCGACGACATCCGCAAGGTAAATCTAGGTCAAATAGATCAAATATGTGTAATGTCACCCCGTCAATAGAAGAACCGTGGTAGTGATAGCAACACCAAACAATCTCAATTGGAGATGGATTTTACAGCTAATTAAATATAACGATATAAAAAGGCTTCGAGAGAAACATATGCCTTTTGTTTCAGCTTAAAACGTCATTCTTAGTTAAAATGAGTTTTTTTTTCTCATTTTGTTGAAACTATAAGACACTATAATTGTACTTGTTCTAGCAATGAAAGTGTCTACATTGTACGTTATAGAAAACAATATACAGAAACAGTAATTAGCGCAATTATGATTGAGCGCAACTTAAGTAAAATAATACATGGACTCATAATGAATTACTTTAACCATATTTGAATTATGCATTGTCTACTTGCTATCCATTTCGTTGTTTTACTTTATAGCTAATTCTATGCCAACATAAACCTGTCAAAATCGCGCTGATTTTAGTCCCGATTTAGGGCCATCCTTTATCCATACTATTACCCTATGGCTACGAAATATTCTATAAATGGCAAATATGATAATATTGTCACTCTTATACAATTTTGTTAAACAATCGATTGATAATGCGATATAGATAAAGGATAATATTTTGATTAAGGTCGATATCACTTAAAATGGACATTATGTTATTTGTATAGATGCCTATTAGCTTAGCTTTGTTCCTATTGTGTTACTTTGTAGTCAAGTTGTCTATTGTCATTTGTTGGTGTCGTCTGTCATCACTCTAACGGTAAATTGTTCATTTAACTGTGTATACTGTCGAGTAGATAAAGACCTGTATCAAAGGTTGAAAAAACACTAAGGATCCTAAGTATGAATTCGTAATAGCGCCGATATGACTTATCGACGGCTAATTCTGAGGCGTAACAAAGGAAAATCAATACCTTCTCACAATGCTAAACCTGAAAAAGGAATCTAACCAAATGGGACCATTATTAATAAATCCATTTAGAATAAAAAAAGTATTGAAAAATTCAAAATTTATTGTTGCTACTCAACCTTGTTGTTATTGAATGTTTCATTTGCATCTATTGAAACAATATTCGAGCGGAAATTAGTAGCCTTTTTCAGTTTTTTTTTTATTTTTATATTTTATGTACGAACTCCCTCTGGGGAGCCCCACGATACTGACACCACCACCTCCAAAGAGCCGATAGTTCGCTTGCTTGTTTGTACGGCATAAAGTGGTCACGTGACCAATATCAATACCATCACGGCTTCATTAGTTAGATGCCGAGTAATGCCGAAGTAGGCATGAAAAAAAGTAGCCTCAACTAACTTTAACGGAATTTTTATTATCTGTGTTTCAGACAGTGTGCAAAAAATCTAAATGGACAGAACATATGTGAACTCGGCTTCAGTGACCATTCCAAGTCGGAGGAATCACTACTGATACCAGGGAAAGCCTTACAGGTATTTTTCTTGCATTATCTTAATTCTACTATCAACAGAGTATCAAAATTGTCATTTAGATGCTCTAACGATGGCAGCGAAGTAATAAAGGTGTTTCTTTTCTGATAACTTGCTTCTCTTCTCACAGCCAGCATCAAGTCTTTGCAGGAGCAGTAATGTTCTGCTAGGATTTTATAATGCAACAAAATTTCGACAAGACATTAGTTGATTTGCAGTTGCAAAAGACTTTGGCTTATGGGCAATTTTCACAAGCTTTCTATGTTTGTTTTCTGTTCCTAGCTCAATCTCACAATTTCTCTCTCTATTACTGACTATTTTTCTCTTTCCTTCTTTCATTTTATGTCCCTCTCTCAATCTCTCACTTTCATTATCTCTCTTCTTCTCTGTCTCTGTGTCTCTTTGTCCTCTCTACATATTTGTTTCTTTCTCTTTGTTTTTTTCTTTCTTCTGTCTTTCTGTCTGTTCTCTAACTTTATCTCCTGCTCTGTCTCATCTCTATCTCTTTCTTTTCTCTGTCCCCATTTATCTGTCTGTCTGCTCTCTTCTCTCATACGCTGTCTTTCTCTATGTCTGTCTTTCTCTGCCTTCCATCTCTATGTCTCCTGCTTATTGTTTCCTTCCTTCCTCCAAATGACAACGTATCTTGCTCAAACGGCTCCAAATAATAAAACATCTGTCCATATGCAATGATGTGTGGATTAGGAAAATTTCATTTCGAAGCATGCAGATTGTTTTGTTCTCGTAGATAAATTATTGCTGTATTTCTGATAGATGTTGCAATCATTCTGACACACAATTTCAATAAATTTTGTAAAGTGAATCAAGTCAGATAACAAGATCTCCTTCCACGCTTGTCGTAACACAGGCGATCCGCGTTACCTACGACTGTCCTGTATCTATAGCCGTGTATGTATCGATATTGTACCCGGGCATTAAAGTCCGCGTAGTAGACAACTGAAGACTTGAAAATCCAATTCACTGAATGCTGTTTGACAATGTAAATATTTATTTTAGTCTTAAAACACACTTTATTTTGTAAATAAAATCTAGGATGTCACAAACTAGATCGATTTTCTATCCAATGTTTTCCTGACGAATCTGTCGCTTTTGTCTGGCCACAATGTTTATTGGTTGGAACCAAAGCTATTTGCCTGTTATTGAATGTTCGAGATAGAAAAACATTTAAACCTTGTTAAGTCGACCGAATGTCGAGATAAAAGGGGTTGTCGAGTTAAATTAAAAATACATATTGTTAATTACTTAATTCTTGCAAGATATTACTTTCTTTTCGTTAATTCGCCAGAAGAGAAGATTTCGGAATCAAAGATAACGCGAATATTTCAGTTAACCAGAGACCACTTGCGATCATTGGACCAATTAGCGATCATTGATTATTTCGCGAGTTCGGATCATCAAAATTATGCCATTGGATGAACAATCGCGAAAATATGTGAACATAAATAAATAGGCGATATACAGTAACATGTACCTGCGGTTTGACTTAAACCTTTTTTCCCAGATACACCGGGTATTCACATTTTCGAAATAACCGAATCGTAAAACAGTTTTTCGACTGCAGAAGGACGACTTTCTTATTGATGTGACATATTGAAATCTGATTTGCACCAATGTCATAATAATCAAATGAAAACGAGTTATATATTCTCTTCATTAACCTCCCCCTATTTTCGATATCATTGCAACAACAAATATAAATATTGACATTTGACAGAACACGATAGCCGTATCCTTGGTACATCTGTCTCGTCAATCGGGCTGTGTTTAACACATACTGTTTTGAACTCACCCAGTGTTTTGTTTTTCGCGTCAATGGTAAATGCTCGAGAAAAATGGATTGCAAATCCAACTATCTCGCAAGTATTTATCTTAACACATTATTGTAACTTTTTATTTGCTTTCATAACAAATATCTTTCGAGGAAAGTTTTTTTTCTTTATAACAATGAAAGCAATCTTGAGACTCAGCTGTGACGTCATAATAGCGTTACATCAGCAATTGCCTTTAGGTAAGTAAATTAGTAATTTAGTAGTTAATGAATTTTATTTACGTCAGACAATTAGTTTCAGAATTGTTCGTGTAACACATAATGATTCTATGATTAAATCGACATTTGTCTTGAATACATATTTGTTTGTCCTGTTTACGTGGAAGTACTTAACTCTAAAAAGTTGAACTTAAGACACAAACGTGAGATTGCATCTACAAAATTTGGTAAAAGCTGAAGTATGCAAAAACTGAATTACACTTCGCCATAAACTGTTTCGTCCTCCTTGGACTCATCGTTGATATTATCAGCCAAACAGATGGGAACTTTATTTGGTCTACACTACTGTTGGAACAGAAGGAGAGGTTCGTAAACAATTACAGAGTTTGGTTTGTTTGTGTTTTATGTCCTGTTAACAATTATGGTCATTTAAGGACGTGTCAGGTGTTTGTGGTGGAGTTCCCGGAGAAACAACTACTGACCTACGGCCACTACCGGGCGACTGCCCCACGTAGGTCTCTAACACGCGACCCAGTGGTGGAGGGCTAGTGGTAGCAGAATGTCAGACGCCTAAACCACTTGGCCATCGCGGCCCTCAATTAGAAAGGTACTGGTCAATTTCATATTAATGCTGATTGAAGCATGTATTTTAAACCGTGCCACAACTCAAAAGATATAACTGTGGCTATCGAGGTTACGTCAAACCTCCGCGACTAAAAACCCACCAGCAGAGTCTACCACCTTGTAACTTGACCCAGAATGACGAAAATGATACTTTCACGAAAAACATTCCGTTCGCAGTATCAGGAGATATCGTGGAATATTTTGCCCTCGTTTTTTCTTGTATGAATATTTTATACATGAGATCACTTTTTATCAATTAAACGAGTATCAAACGAAATTAAATGATGGAATGTTTTAAAACGCTAGACGTCATTGTCAGTGGAGAAATCCTTTCGCTCAATAGCCAATTACAATGCCCCTGTGATAATTCGGAACAGGTTTATTTCAGTATCGAACAGCTTTCAGTCGACATTTCATCGGCAATACAGATGCATTATTTGTACAATAAACAACCTTTAGTAATGATATATTGTTATTTAATGGAAACCGAGAAATTTAATCGGGATTTAAACGCCATTCAGAGCACAATCTACAGACAACATTTCCATGTGATATCCATCGTTACCACGCGTGGGCCCATGGTGTCACCATTTCAAAACCCCTAAAGCATCACGGTCAAGTGTCTTTCAAAATAAAGGAAATTGTTGACGTGTTGGCAAACTATTTAAGGGTCCCTGTCCCACTGCAGGCAAACACTAAAGAGTTCCACAGTGTTTTTTTTGTACTTACAGTGACATCCCTTTAATTTCGTTTTCGGTATAATTTTACCGTTACTGGTCCGAGATCTTACCGTTGGTTATCACAACAGTATGACGAGGAGTTACAGGATTCGAACCCTGGTATGGTGCCATTACCTGAACAGAATGTTATATTTCAGAAATTTCCCTCAAGCTACAGGTTTCTTTATAAAAATATTATTTTCAAATCGAAAATTATGCTGGAAAAGCTGTTTAAATACATAGTTACGGCATACACATTCTAAATACACTGTATGTAGGTTACTTTTCACAGGTAACTACGAATTTAAAGTTAACATGTATGACATGTAAAATGTTTTCTGATATAACACTAAAATGTTGGTAAAAACTTGTAAAAAACTGTGCGCAAATTAAGACTTGTATTTATAATATCATGTCAATCATAAATAAACGTGTCTGTAAAGTCAAATACATGTGGCTAGCACTACACAAATGATCATGACAGGGATTGAAAACGTGCCAATTACTTACCTCCCAGAATGCATTGCGGGGCGTTGCCATCTTTTTACGATATAGATAACTATGACCTTTAGGTCAAATAATATAGTTGAGGGGACGTAATCAAAAGTGAACGTAGTGCAACGCTAGGAACCCCAAGGTGGGTGGGTGTGTTTGTGTGTGTGTGTGTGTGTGTGTGTGTGTGTGTGTGTGTGTGTGTGTGTGTGTGNGGGGGGGGGCACACTTCCTTGTTAGTGGATCTATTGTGTTTAAAAAGTTATTAATTGCAAATTTAATTTTTTTCTTTCTATCGTCACATTTAGCTTTTCAAGACGTTTACTATACATTTTCTGTTAAGCTCGTTGGACTAGTTATAGGATAGTGTCTTCAAAATGGAACAGTGGATAATCTAAGGGAGACGAAGGAGGAGGTTGTTAACTAGATTTAAACTAATTCTTCAAAGAGGCGTAGCTCTACAGATAAGAGTACTTCTAACCTTTCCGAACTTGTGTGTAGTAGGGTTTCAATGAATTATCTTTGTACACACCCACGAACGAGACATATACATTGTTTTCTCTGATACCTAGGAGACATCATGAGATTTTCTAACGATGTTTGAATTTTCGCTACTTGAACTACTTATAAAGAGATGACATGACTATCATTGATGCCCATGTGTTGCGCCGCCTATTTGGGAAAGAGTTTAAAGTGTATCTACTTCCGCAAACATAAAAGAAAACTTTCTGGCAAGAGATTTGTTTTGGTGCTTTGTTTAAATAAATCTTATTCTATATTTTTTATCATTCAAACTAAACACTTAGAACATACATGGTATGCTGTAAGTCGAATGTATATGAGAAACTTTGCTGACGGTGTTTCACAACACGCGCTTTCTAACATGACACAAATATTTACTTTTAACCACAATTAAAGTACGTATGTTTGCTATTGTAAATTAGAATAATCGATAACAGGTAGTATTTTGTAGTATTCAGAGAAAGCGTCATGCCGCGAAAAATATTCCTGAAACACTTTATTCTATACAGTATGTCATATAACATATTCAACCGTGTTTCATGAGTAAAATTATCACCTTTATGTATATAAACATAGGTCCTGTCCACTGATTTCTAACCACATTTATATCATTAAGAAAACATAAAAAAGCCTGTCAA